CCAGGTGATCCTGAGGACACAGATAAACCTCCAAGTGGCCTCAATGACCCTCTAAAAGGATGCAAATGACCAGCTGTCTGCCAGGAATATAAATCCTTCCATTCCCCACCATCCAGTCAGAGCTGAAGAAGCTTCTTAGATGAGAAGCAAAATGTCTTCAAAAAGAAAAAAACAAACAAGGAAAGGACGACCTGTATTGTTTGCAATCGGTCAGCAGACAATCGGTCTTGTTACCTGATAGGATAGTCCGCAGCACTGAGGTTAATGAAGAAGTCCCACGGCCAGTCCTTCATCTCCAAGAGGTCCTGCATACTCTGCAGGTAGGTGGACAGAAGACTGGCTCCGCCCCAGATGGTGGCCATGCGCCAGGAGGTGACTCTCACATTCGGATACTGGCTTGCGAACTGGAGCACTTGCCGGTGTAAATAATTGGAACGCTTTACGGGGAGAAGAAAACGTTCGGTGAGAGGCAGTGAGAGGAACACTAAATGAGCTGACAATTCACAAATGCGTGAATAAACAAGAAACAGGTTGCTGCAGCTATGATATGTACAGCCACAGTTTATAACCACAGTTGAGCCCAAAATTTCTGTTGCTAAGGGAGACATTTGTTAAATGGGTTTGACTCCATTTTATGACCTTTGTTGCCACAGTTGTTAAGCATTTGTTAAATTAGTAACACGGCTGTCAAGTGAATCTGGCTTTTTCCCATTAACTTGGCTTGTCGAAAGGTTGCAAAAGGAGATCACCGGCATGACCCTGGGACGCTGCAACCATCATAAGTACATGCCAGTTGCCAAGTGTCTGGATTTTGATCACATGACCTGAGGATGCTGCAATGGCTGCAACATTTGAAAAAATGCTCAAGCTTGTTCAGAGTATTGCAGCGTAAATTCAGCACCAGAAATGTAAACACAGATGGCTGAGGTTTCATTTCACTTCTTTATAAACACATAAAGTGAAATTTATAATACCAGTTGTAGATTTCTCCATGGAGCAAACTCAAATAGAAGCAGACAAGTTATAGGTTCAGAACAGAACAGCAACTCAGGAGCTCAGAAACAGACATCAGTTTCACTTTAGTTCAGCAGGTAAGCAAGACACACAGCAAAGGAGAGAAGCAGTTTCATTTTCAACAGACAGACTCAGAGCTTAGCATAGCTTCAGAGCTGCAGAGCTTAATATAGAGCCACTTCTAGTTTCAGTTTTCAAACAGTCCTCATTGGCTGACTTAGCTGCTATGCCTATTCATTGGCTGACCTTGTTACCATTCCAGTTCACGAATATACTCTGACAACTCTTGCAGTGCCATTGTAACTTCGGCCACTAAATGGACTGTTGCAAGTCGAGGACTACCTGCATTTAAGACTGCAAAACAGAGCAAGCACAAGACAAGCAGATCACAAGCGCTGGGGAACTACAGAACTGATGTTATGTTACCTTGTCCACGTGGATATAATAAAAATGATCCTGGTGATAGATCGCCTTGAACATGCGCATCAGCTGGCGAGAAGCTCTGCCATGGACGACCAAGACAAACACGATCCTGACTGGGTCAGCTGGCATATATTCTATGGAGTCCTCATCCCACTGGATATTGTTATTGGCTTTTCCTGTTTGGAAAGAAAACATCATCAGGGCATTCAAGCCTGTCTTAAGGGGAGGACCTTAGTCTACGTTTCAACAGTTGGATCAGAGATGGAAGTTGGTAGAAAGTTGACAAAGTCCAGAAATATTTCACAAGAAGAGTTCTCCACTCCTCTACTCGTTGCAGAATACCTTAGGCCACCAGACTTGAAATTCTAGACCTAGACAACCTAGAACTACGCCGCCTTCGGTCCGATCTAAGTATAGTATATAAAATCATACATTGCAATGTCCTACCTGTCAATGAATACTTCAGCTTCAACCATAACAATACAAGAGCACACAATAGATACAAACTCAAGGTTAATTGCACCAAACTTGGCTGCAGAAAATACGACTTCAGCAACAGAGGGGTCAATGTCTGGAATACTCTACCTGACTCTGTGGTTTCTTCCCCAAACCCCAAAAACTTTAACCTTAGACTGTCTACTATTGACCTCACCCCTTTCCTAAGAGGTCTGTAGGGGGCGTGCATAAGCGCACCAATGTGCCTACCGCCTCTGTCCTATTGTTTCTTTTATTTTTCTTATATGTATCCATTTCATGTATTCATAACTATGTTTATACTTATACCTGTTATCTTCAAATTGCTTGACAAAATAAATAAATAAATATAAATAAATAAATAGAATATGCAAGGTCTGCCTAAAGCCCTTCCAGAACTTTTGAAAGACTCCAACTCCCAGGTGTGTGTGTGTGTGTGTGTGTGTGTGTGTGTGTATTTATATTAACTAGTATGACTAAGAATGGGAAGTGGCCTTGGTTGGTGGAAGATGCTAGGGTACCAACCCCCCAATTCAATTATCTTCCAGTTATATGGAGTGTGATGAGCTTGGTGGTTTTCTTGCAGAGAGTTTATTACCAAACTAGGTAACACCATCAGTGCTAAAAGGGAATGGGATGTGAGGAGTAGAGAGGAAGAAGAGGAGGAGGAAGAAGCAGGAAGACAACTATGGGGTCCTTGGTGCTCTCTCAGCTTGGCTGTTTTCTTGCAGACATTTTATTACCCAACTGGGTAACCTCATCAATGCTAGAAGAGAATGGGGTTTGGGGGGAGGAGGAAGAGGAAGAGGAGGAGGAGGAGTAGTCCTGACTTCCTGAAGTTCATTACTTGGAACCATGATTGTGGGGTCACGGGACCCTCTGAGTTTGGATGTTTTCTTACAGACACTTTATTACCCAAGTAGGTAACATCATCAGTGCTAGTAGGAAGTGGGGGTTGCTGATGATGTTATCTAGTTCAATAATGAAACATCTGCAAGAAATCCCATCAAACTGAGATAGCAGCAGAGACTTCACAGTTCAACCCTGATCTATAAATATTTTATTCTGTAGATATACGGAGTCTCAACTCCCAGAGGTCATGCTGACCAAGAATTCTGAAAGGTAACTCAAGGACACTGGAATGGGAAAGACCAAAGCTAAATTGACCTCAGGAAAAAAAAATATATTTAGTGTAGAACGACTGTACAAGTTTTATCTGCAGAGGTTTCTTGACCTTGGATGCTTAAAAAAAATTAAATTGTGTAAAAGTGAAAGAATGAAGCAGAATGGAGGTGAAATTCTGGAGAGGCATAAGACAAGTCTAGAAACAGAAAATAGAAAGGAAACAAGGCTTGGTTGAAATGCTAGTTTTCTGAAAAGATAAATTATAAAAATATTTTATATTAATGTCTACCAGCTAAATACATATATTTTTGTAATTTAGTCCTGCTGAATTTGTGGAGTTTATTATTTTTTAAGCAAACACTGACCTCAGCTTTCTGCAGCAAATAATTTATGACTCTGTATCTTTATAATTTAAGATTATACATGGAAAATTCCTTTCCCTCCAGTAACTCCTGGAGGTTCAGCAATGGCATATGGTGAAGGGAAGAAATGTGTAATGAAAATGCCAGAGAATTTTAACTTCGGAAAGAGAAATGCCGTATATATTTACCGCAATGAATATTAAGTTCTATCATGGGTAGACATTCCAGTTCTTTTATAAAAATTCATATCCATGATTATCTAAATGCTGTTTTATTTTTAAAAAAATAAGTCCAACAGTACAATGACTAAAAACGGATTTTTAAACATTCCTAGCATTAAGCAATTCTTTGCTGATTTACTGCAAATAAACCAAGATCATACTTTCAAATCTACCTGCCCCATGACCTAACAGGATATAAAGCTTTATGTCGAATGTTGACTCGTGAACCAATGAACTGTGGGATGATGGGAAGAAGTTAAAAATTGGAGGAACAAAATTAAAGAAATTGCTAGTTCTTCTCTCATAAATTATTCTTTTGGCTTACATTTTCCCCCTAATGCTTTTATACCAAACTCCCTAGAGGTTTACTCATACAGAAAGAATAAAAATGAAGGCTAATTTTTCTCCCTCTGCTCTTGTATAATAATGTTCTGCTATCAATCCCAGGGGAGCTGTAATTTCAAATGATGGGCAAAATAATTGTCATTTTGTGATTTTCTGACACAGAAGCAATATGTGCTCTATTTTCAGCTGTGCATATTTCTATCACATATTCTCTTTAGATTTTCAAACATGATCCTGAAACCAAATTCCAACATTTGGGCTACCGAAGAAGTTTTAGAAAAGGGCTTCCCATGGACAAGTGAAAGTCCTATTATTTTATTATGGGTAGTCCTCGAACCTACTGAGCCCCAAATTTCTGTTGCTAAGTGAGACATTTGTCAAATGAACTTTGTCCCATGTGACGATCTTTCTTGCCACAGTTGTCAAGTTAGAAACACCACTGTTATGTGAATCTGGCTTCCCTATTGACTTTGCTTGTCAGAAGGACACAAAAGGGGACACTGCAACTGTCATAAGTACATGCCAGTTGCCAAGCATCTGAATTTTGATCATGTGACCATGGGGATGCTGCAATGCTTGTGGTGAAAAATGGTCATCACTTTTTCAGTGCCTTTGTAACTTTATTTTTTTAAATAATGCTTTGTTGAATTTTTCCCCGTTTATACATAATGTTTAATGTTACTAAACAGTGCTATGACATTATATATACATTTATGTGTCCTATCAAAACTTACAATGCATAATACTTTCATACCCTCTTATTTATTATATACATTATTTACATTTTCTATTTTTATATCTATTATCTATCCAAATAAACCATGTTTCCCATACTGCCTTGTATTCTGCGTCTGTTTTCCCTTTTAATTCCGTAGTTAATTTATCCATTTCCACACACTCTAAATTTTTTTATTATTATTAAGCCTTCAGGTGGTATGGAGTTTTTCTTCCAGTACTGAGCATATGAAATTCTTGCTGCTGTTAATATATGTAATATAAGATGTTTTATCTTTCTACTATAGTTTTTTTTAAATTATTCCTAAGAGGAATAATTCTGGGACAAAATCAATGTTGTTTTTAGTTAACTCTTCTAACCATGTTTGAATCATTTTCCAGTATTTTTTCGCTTTGGGGGCCTTTGTAAGTTTAAATGAACTGTCATAAGTCAAGAACTACTTGTATAAGCAGACACATGTAAAAGGATGGGAAGATATTCAAGTAACTATGAACAAAACAGAAAGCACAAAAATTATTGGATAATTTCTGTTTGGCTAATGACTCATTTTTCCTAAATGAAGCACAATACAGACTTGAAGAATCCATCAACTGTTTACAGTTCCAATACATTAGTTTATTATTCTTAGCAATCTGTTCCAAGGGAAACACTGGAAAAAAAATGACAGAATATAATATTTTCACATTAAAACAGGAAAAGGGGAAAATAGCTGCGTATCCTTCTGTCTGATTAAATAACTCTGAAGAACTCATATGAGGCAAAAGGGGAATGATAGTATAGGCGATGCAAATTTGTTTATCTTAAGTAGCAACCTTCATACAACATCAATATTGCATAAGATGCTGTGAGGCTTGAGAATTCCAACTCCAGCAGATACCGTGTATTTTATCTGCAAAAATACCAACAAGTCGAAAAATCAACATATATATATTTTTAAAAAGATGATTCTGTAATCCAAGGACTTTGGCTGCAATGCTCTACTGTATTAGCCAGATTCACATAACAACGGTGTTACTAACTTAATAACTTCAGTGATTCACTTAACAATTGTGGCAAGAAAGATCATTAAATGGGACAAAACTCATTTAACAAATGTCTCACTTGGCAGCAGAAATTTGGAGCTCAAATGCGGCTATAGGTTGAGGATTACCTGTAATAAAATAATAATACTTTCATTTGTCAGTGGAAAGCCTTTTCTAAAACTTCTTCAATAACCCAAATGTTGAAATTCAGTTTCAGGATCTTTGTTTGAAAATCTAAAGTTAATCCAGAGAACAAAAGATAGAAATATGCATAGCTGAAAATAGAGCACCTATCTATGTTGCTTCTGTGTCAGAAAAACACAAAATGACAATTACTTTACCCGTCATTTGAAATCACACAAACCTACTAAATTATATACACTAAGGTTTGTTCTGGGTGCAAGATTTCACCATGAGGTTTGATGACTAAAATAAACACTTTTCAAAAACACTGGATCAAGAAAAGAGAATAGGGTGTTTTATTATGTCTGCTAGCAATATCAGCATTATATGACTGAGCCTTTTGGCATTGTTTAATGGCTTTCTTTCCAAGTGACTAATTTTGAGGGCAGTGAATGTTCAGATTAGCCTGGGAAATCTTTCTTACAGAGGAGAATACTCACATGATGTCTATAAATGCCCATTAAGGTCTTGGGTTGGGGAATGGTTTTAGAATTAAACGTTTGGAATGGAAACCTACACCTCCCAATTAAAGGCCACACTTAATTGTGAAAAGATCAAACAACATACTCTGAACAGGAACAACTCTGAACAGGAACTCAGCTCAACTGCCCAATGCTTAAAAAAAAAACTTTCCCCAAAAGGAGATGATTTAAGAGGTTAAAGTCTCTTAATTCATCAGAGAATCTAAAACAAAAAAAATATGACTCA